GAATGTGTTTTCATAGATCGATACATATACAGCGTGATAATTGAATTGTTCACACCTTCTCGCTTATGCCTAATTCAGTTGGGTGAAAAAAATAATCTATATGATATAGATAAATAATCATATAACAACTTCCACCTGTAATCAAGTAAATACATGAGTTTTCATCAACTTCATCAAATGTTTGTGTGTGTGTGCTTGTGTTTTTTTAGGGCTTCTCGGATTATATTTTTTTCCATTATGTTTGTGATGTATGTGTGCATCATTTTCTTCAGTCTTTTATTGTGTGTTCCTTGTTCTGTCAATGGTTTTGGCTTTTTTTGTATAAATTAAAGCTAGAATTCATTCCATGTTGTCGTTCGTCTTCATCATTATCATCATCATCATCTTATCATCAGCAGCAGCTCGAGAATCTTGCTTTCTTCTTCTGTTTTTTTTTTGTATGTGTATGTTGTATGTGATAAGACATCTATTGATATGACTTCAGCATAGCCAAACGAACTTAATTGTTCTTTTTTTGTATCCTTTTCTTATTGTCGTATGTTTTAACTCAAGACATCTACTTAGATACATAAGACGTTGACAGTTCTAATCATGGCGCAATCAGTGATTGCCTATGTCGAGCGATGATCATCGTTATTACGAATTCTTATCTTATGCTCGTTTGTATTTTGTGGCATCTTCTAATTCTTTTTTTATGCTTTGTGTATAGTGTATTATTTATTGAAGAGAACTCAAGACAGCTTGTTGACTAAAGAGAATAATCAAGGATTTGAGCTCCAATTGTGTTAATTCTTTATGTATTCATTGAGGTAATGTTTACGAATAAGAGCGAACGTGGGAGTCTATGGTCTAGTTAATCGGTCTAACACTCGGAAATTTCCTCTGGCAATATTGCCTCGCGTTACGTCCCACGAGAAAGTAGTTCGAAACGAACCAAATCAATTAAAGAACTCGAAGTCTAAAAATAGGTTAAAGAAAAGAAAAAAAAAGCACGCTCTTCTTTCCCATTAGTCTATTGAGAGGTATAGAAAAAAATTTCCTTCTAATATACAAGAATATATATATATATAAGAGCAACAGCTGCTGTTTGCATCCTACTACAAAACTATTCTTCAACAACAATGAACAGGATACAGATCATTAGAAGTGGATATAAAGAATGACGACTGGATCATATCTTATGTGATATATGCACCAGAGGCGAACTAAAGGAGATGATGCGTGATGGCAGAAGAAAAGCAAAAAATCATTTGTCATTTGTAATAAAGATCATCTCTCTTTTTTTCACATCTATATATGTGATTAGATGAGATAGATCGAATGTTACCCTTAAGCCATTTGAAAGGACAATCACAACCTTTTTTTTTCCTAATGTTCACTAACATTCTCATATCTTACAAATCAATTTATCTAAAATAACAAACAGATAAGGAAAAAACTCAGTTCATTAATGAATATTCTTCAACGAAATATTACTTCTGTAAACAAAAGAAAAATATTATTTCTTTGATTATGGCAAAAAAAAAATCAAATTAATCAAAATAAATTAATATATGCAAAAATAAAAAACATGTCAGCAATAAAAAAAAAAGATTTTGATCGATTGATTTTTATAGAATAATTCATGATTGAAGTTATACTTGTCCCGGATATTGACTGATGGCAATAGAAATTATAGAAACAAGTAAATGAGATAGAAATCAAAGAAGATTATGAAAAATTTTTTTTTTTCTTGCTATATTTACAGTTCGACTTCTTAGCAAACATATAGCTTTATGATTCAAAAAAAAAATAGCATAGTTATGAAGTGCAAGAATAGCTATATACTGTGTATGAACTAGTTTTTAAAGAAAATCATCTACAGATAACTTACAAATATTCATTACTTTCTAATTTAAGATTTCATTTTCCAACATAATATTTACATGCGTAATTAATTAATATTGAGCCCTAGTTGAAAACATAAATATTATTCCGAAACAACTCAAAAGAGATGTTTCATGTAGTATTGAAAGGATTCAACAAGGCTATGATTTGAATATCCAAATTTATGTTGACATATTGAATGACACAATATGAAAGAATTTCCATTTTCTAATTCCATATATTACTGACATCTATGAGATAGTTAAAAACTAATATTGAGTTTACTTAGGAAAATATTCTATTAATATTTTAAAATGTTTTCTACATAATTAAGTTGATAAATTGAATAAAATAAAAAGATGAAGGTGAAGTTTAAAAATCTGATTGGTAAAAATTGAATAACAAATGAATGATGGACATCATATTTTTATTTTGAACCATTCATATATTGTGCTCTTCACTCATTCTATTCTTCGTTGTAGGTTTGCTTGTGACCTTGTATTTTACTGACATACGATTGTTGACTGTTTTATTTGTGAAGAAAAAAAAAAAACGATCAGATGGCTACAGTTTCTGCTGATAAATTACGTCGAGAAATTCAGATAATTTTAAAAGATGCTGATTTAAATACATTATCATCAAAAAAAGTTCGACAAATGCTTGAAACAATATTTCAATGTGATTTTACTGAACGAAAAAAAGAAATTGATGATATACTTATGGCTGAAATAACAACACGTGATATGATGCCAGTACCTGTAAATCCAACAAATATTGAACAAAATCAGATAAATAATAATATACAATGTCAAACATTAGATGATAATTCAGAAACAAAACCCAATCAAATACAATCAAATAATAGTGATAATAATCAACAACAAGCAAAGAAATCTGATGAAGAATTAGCTATGGAAATTCATCAACAAGAAAATCGTCCAAGTCTTCGACGAACTGTTGTAAATTAATTATTAGAAATTTTATTTACAAAAAAAAAAAAAAAATTGTTTTGTTTATTTTAAGAGTTCTACAAGTACATCAACAGTATATAAAAAACCAACAACACCATCACTTAAAATTGAACGACGACGAACATGTTATAATAAAGAATTAGATTTAAGTGATCAATTAGCTAGTGTTGTTGGAGGACATCAAGTAAATTAGTTTATTATTATATTTATTTATTATTATTTATTTTTAGATGCCTCGATCTGAAGTTGTTAAACGTATGTGGGTTTATTTTAAACAACATAATTTATTGGTAAAATTAATATTTGTCTTTTCCTCTCTTAAAAAATTTAATATTTAACATTTTTTTTTTTTTTAATTTTTATAGGATCCTGTTAATAAACAATATATTAATTGTGATGAAACACTTGCTAAATTATTTGGTATGTTTATTAATATTAGAAAAAAAACAAAAAACAGATTTAATTTTAATTTAAAATAGGTCGAAGACGTGTACGTGCATTTGGAATGTTAAAAGAACTTTCGAGACATATGAGTGATCCAGACAAACAACAATGATTCGACTTTTTTTTTTTTTTGTTTCTGTTTTGCCATTTTATTCTGTATTTGTTAATGTTACTGTGATAGAGATGATCTCTATGAGTAGACTAGAAAATACATTTCATCTTTGTCTTTTGAATTTTTTTTTTGAGTTAATAATCATTTCAATTTTCTAACATTTTTTTGTTTTTTTGGATACCACCAAAATATTCCATTGCTTGTTTTTTTTTTTTTTAGACTTGCTTTATTTGTAGTTTTCACATATTATATGTGTGTGTATGTATATATACATTAACATGTTTGATTCTTCTGTTTTTATTGTTTTGTAGATTTGATAAGTAGCTAAAGGACAAACCAATTGAAGAAAAAACGTTCGGTTCCCTTTTCGTTTGTTTTTTTTTTTGTTTGTGATTTTCTTTTTCTTGTTTTGTTTTAGATTTCTCATAGTTTTAGTAGGCGTTTACCGTAGAATTTTAAACTGAAAAAAATGGAATAAATATTAATTTTATTCTTAGATAAGATTTTTTAAAATTATATACGCTCAGTTACTTAAAAAAAATTAAAATGTTAGTTTCAGTTATTGGTGGGCGAGGAAATTTTTCTAGGTATTTAATCGTTTTTTGACCTAGACGATGTTTATTTGATGAGTGTTAGAAGGTAATAGAACATTCTAGAATGATTTGTTTTTTCGGACATTCGTCCTTGGAATATCGAAATTTGTCTCAGCTTTTTCAGCAAACAGCTGTAGTCCGTGTCAGGCCAACTGTATAATCAAGTTTCGATTTCAAATTTTGCATAAAGAAATATCTTAATCAGATTAGTTAATTGATAATTAAAAAACAAATAATTTATCTTATGTTTTAAACGTAATTGCAATTTGCAAGTAAAACATTCGATGTTTAATCTAGCTTGTATATCTGTTATGCTTCAATAAGCATATCTTATTCGTGTTTATTTTACAAGCAAGTGCATTTCATTATTCAAATGAAGAATAGACTCTAGTCATGCTCGTTTAAGTTTTTTTTTTTTAGAAAGAAGTCTTCCAGGATTTATTCACTCCATTGTTAGCACTGAGAGATTGTACTACGAAAATCATGGCAAGAAAAGTTCTAATAGAGATTTAAGCCAATTAGTTGTGATTGCCGCTGATGAATCCATCGGATTATCCTATTAGCCCTGAGCTATATCATTTAATAAAAAAAATCAAGACAACTTTACTTTGTCAATGAAAACAGAAGTAGATCTATATGAAAAAGCAATAAAGAGTAAGAGTCTTCTTAAATATTCTCAACAGACAATATATTTGGAGATAAGAGAGATATCATGATGTCACTACGTAATATCAGAAAGAAAAGAGGGAATATCTAAGAAGAATCTAGACGAAAGAAAGTCAAAAATTATCCATGAAAAACAGATGGGGCCACATATGACCTTCAAGCCTTACAGGTCTAATGCTTTAATTTAAGGAAAATATTTTATTTTCTATTAAGAAAAAAAGACGCAGGTGGTACAACATATGTGCCACCGCCCTAACAAAAAAAAAATCAATTTGTTGATAATTAAATATAAATAAAACTTTTTAATTATATAAACAATAATATGTACATTGTTTATAATTTTAGACCATGACACAACGTCTTCTGTTTCTTATTTTTCTCACTTTAGCAATCTTAATTTGCAAGATAAATTCTGATGGTCATTTTCATGATCATGGACATGGCCATTCTCATGAACATGGTCATAGTCATGGTCACGGACATTCTCACGATCATGGTCATTCTCATGATCATGATCACGACCATGGCCATGCTCATGAAGAACCACCTGCATATAAATATTCTCGAGAAGCAAATGAACTTCATCATGGACATTCCCATTCACATAATGAAGAATCAGTAACTTATGCTCCACCACATTATAATGAAGGTAGTGACGATGATGATGATGAGGATGTAACTGCACAATTTTCTGTTATGTCTTGGGCATTACTTTCAACACTTGGAATAAGTTTAGCACCTATTGTTATTTTATTTTTTATTCGTGTTAGTAATACACCAGCACATCAATCATATTTAAAAATTCTTTTAAGTTTTGCATCTGGTGGTTTATTAGGTGATGCATTTTTACATTTAATTCCTCATGCAATGTCATCTTATGGTAGTGATCAAGATAATGAACATGGACATTCTCATTCTCATGAACATAATCAATCAGCTGATTTTCGTGTTGGTATATATATTCTTTTAGGAATATTTCTTTTTCTTATTGCTGAAAAATTTGTTCGACACTTTAAAGGTAAATTTATTTACTTATAAAGTTCTTTTTTTTTTTGTTTTCTTTAAACGGTTCATTTTCAAGGTCATGGACATTCCCATGGTCATACTCATCAACAAACTGCAGCTGTTATACCAAAGCATAGTGATGATGAGGATGACGATGACCATGATGATAAAAATGGTAAAAAAAAAAAAGAAAAAAAAACAAAAGCTGAAAAACAATCAGGTTTTATTTTATTGAAAATATCTTATATGAATATGAATTTTGGTTGTTTTTTTTTGTATCCTTAGTCGAAGTAGTACAGAGTAATATGAAAATATCTGGCTATTTAAATTTAATTGCTGATGCTCTTCATAATTTTACTGATGGATTAGCTATTGGTTCATCATATTCAATGGGACGAAAACTTGGTAAGAATAAAATGAAAATAAAATATTATATATCGATTTTATTTAATTAAGGCTCAGTAACAACATTTGCAATATTTCTTCATGAAATTCCACATGAAATTGGTGATTATGCTATTTTAATTCAAAATGGTTGTAGTCGAAAAAAAGTTTGTATTCATTTTGATTTTTATTGTTTCTATGAAACTTAGAAAAATCTTTATCAATTAGGCAATGCTTTTACAATTAACAACAGCTATCGGTGCTTTACTTGGTTGTTTAATTGGTCTTTTATTTCATTCAGCTGGTGCAAAAATATGGGCAGCACAAACATTTCTTCCAATAACAGCTGGCGGTTTTATTTATATAGCAACTGTTAGTGTTATACCAGAATTATTAGAAACAAATACTGGATTTAAACAATCAGTGTTAGAAATGATTGCTCTCATTGTTGGTGTGGGTTTTATGGTTTTTGTTTCAATTTTTGAGTGAAAAACAAAACAGAAAATAAAAAACCAACGAATATTCATTTTTTTTTCTTTTTTCTTTTTTCGTTTATTGTTATTTTATTTCTATTTATCAAGGTTTAATAAATAAGATCGATTATCATATATAGAGAATGGTATAAGAATATAAATAATAGAAATTTTGCATGTTATAAATATAGTTTTTTTTTAATCAGAAATCGATTTTCTTTTAGTTTGTTCAAGGTATCGAATCTTTCAATGGGTTGGTTTTCTAATACATATTTAAATTTATTGTAAAATATTGAAATAATCGGTATAAGACGAAGAAGCCTTAATAAAAGATCATTTCTTGCAAGTCTTTTCTTTTATCATCTACTACATTCTATTAAAAAAGTAAAATATGTCATAGAATGAACCAAAAAAAAAACTACTATTTACAAAGAAAAGCTTATTTTCTACTTGCACCGTTTATTTTATAACAAAACACAAAATTCTGTTCGACTTATGATTGATAATATGAACGTAGTTGTTTTTCTTACAGTATTTCAGTGATTTAAGAAACATGATTTTTAACATCATTTGTCTCTGTCTACGAAATGTCTAAAGTCTTCTGTTTATAACGCTAAGATTGAGCATGTCAAAGAGTAACTTCAATAGGATTTTCATGTCTCTGTGTATTACCAGATTCGAATAAAACTTGAGACATTAGACCATTGTTACAAGCATCTAATCATGTCCGAATACTTCTAGCATACTTAACCTTTTAATTTATATCTCTCGTCCAGTAGCAACATGGACATGTTCTAATGAAAAGGGTTATTCAGTAGTGTACATAGAAGTCTCTGTAATCAATAAGAGAAAAATACAGACTGATCATTTACTAAAATATGATCCTGTTCACATCGTTGAAAACACTTTTCTCGGTCTGACTTCTGATATATTATGTTTATTCATAAAACATATTATGTGATGAAACGATGACTTACAAACAGTGATCATTCATTATGATTCATCTGTTACATATATAATGGTCTGGATTATATCGGTTGATTTTCTTTTTAGAAGACTGAGAGTAGGCGTCTATTAATCAACTTCTGTTCACCGTCTCAATCATATAAGATTATTCAGTCATGTAATAAGACTGATGTTTATTTATATGACAATAGAACAGAGCAATTATTCATCTATAAAAATGAGATGTTTTGCACAGCTGTGTGATAATTGATAGAGATTATATGAGATTAGCATTAAAGACAAACAGTAATACGACGATCGGCATTGATTCTATATTGTTCACACAAGTTGAATTGCTTATTAAACAGATTTGAAAGTCAAAATCTACAAACTATTTTACATTTTCCTATGAAACGTTTTCTTTTCATTTTAAGTCTACTCTAGCCAAGGTTGTCTTATTTCAATTCAATTCAATTTTGATATGCTAACTCTATTGTATACTGCATTACTTTGAATTTATTTTATTCTAATTCTATTATAATCTACATATTAGTAGCTAAGAAATTTTAATATTCATTTCAATGTTTTTTCCAAGCGTAAAAATTAAAGGAATAACATATCTCAGACAATTGGGTTAACTTTTCCGAAGTTTGTGGTTATTGTACATAGAAATTTGCGAGACAAAGTTTTCTTTTACTACAGAACTTGGTTTCGAGAAAACTATTTCTGACTTTATTGGCATGAAATTTTTTTGTAAAAAAAAGAAATGTGTTAAATAGTCGTCTGTTGATAAAGTTAGTTGGCGAATCTCACTTTTTTTCATCATATCTCCTAAATTTTGCTTTGATCAATATGATTTATGACATAATGTGATAAAATTCATAGAAAATTTAACTGAAATTTTCATTTAGAGTTCGGACAACTTTCTTCTCGTAGTTCCGTTTTCAATCTTGTAGTGACCGAAACAAAGCCTAATCCTGCATATGTATAATTGTACCATATACTGTGTTTCTCTACTTTGAAAAATAAATATGCACCCTGCTTAAGTATTAAAACATCGTTTTGAAAGACGAAATCTGAATAAAACACAATATCATTTTGAAAATTCAGATTCGTTTTTGTATAAGAATGTAACTTTCTTATTCGGTCGTTTTGTCTTTCGTTGATGTTTGGCACGTTGTTTTTTCAAGGAGTTTACATTTTGACATCCTTAAAAAAGAAAAGAGAATTAAAGATTTTATTTACATTCTAAAATGAAGGAGAAAAAAGTTTTTTTTTTTTTTTCTTTTGTAAATTTATTTATTCTTAATCAAATGCTACGACGTCGTCGATGTATTTATTCTTTAAGTCTAATTTTTATATGTTTTCTTATCTTTTTTCATATTATTTCTTTATCATTGAAATCAAAATCTATTGATCATTGTTTGAAGAATACTGTGCAACCAAGTGAAAAATTTTATTCAAATATAGTTTATATTCCAAAATTAAATATTATTTATTGTGATATTCCGAAAGCTGCATCAACAAATCTTCGACGTCTTATTTATGGATATTTAAATCAATCAAATTCATTTTTAAATCTTAATAGAAAAAAAATTTGGATCGATTATAAAGATTTTTTTAATAAATATTATTTAACTGAAAATTTTCAATTTTTATTTAAAAATACAAATAAAAAATTATTTAAATTTCTTCTTGTTCGTCATCCATTTCGACGTATTTATTCAGTTTATTATGATAAATTTATTAATAATCATATTGATGATACATTATCTGGTTGGAAACAACTTGAAGAAGATATTTTATTACAAATGAAAACAAATGAAACATTATTAACAATAAGACGAAATGATATACGATTAGATTTTCGTACATTTCTTTTATATATTATTGATTCTATACGAAAAAAACGATTAATTAATAGTCATTGGGAACAAGTTGTTCAACGTTGTGCAACTTGTTTAATTAATTATGATTGGATTGGAAAAGTTGAAAATTTAGATCGTGATGGAAAATTCTTAACAGACAAATTAAATAAAATTTCAAATAAAACTCATTTAGAATTTCCTCCGAAAGAATCGCAAAAAAAAGAAAAAAGTCAAAAGTCATTAGATGATTTTAAAATATTTCAACTTTTTCGAAATACTATTCAAAACGATGATGATTTTCAAGTTTTAATCAATTATTATAAACCAGATTTCGAAATATTCAATTATACGATGCCGACTTTATGAAAAGTTATTCTGTTAATTGTTGTTTTTTTTTGTATTTTTATTCTGTCAACAAATTATTTCATACAAAAAAATAACGAGATAATGTATTTTAAATCATACTATTAGAATATAAACTAAATCAAATATCATCGATTGTTTAACACAGAATTATTATGAGTAGTCCATTAACAATTAGACATTTTGATTTTCTTTTTTCGAAGACAACAGCACAATTTAAACACACCGTTATAATTTCATTCGATAGAGAATCTTTTGCTCTACAAAGTTGTCAACTCGACTCTTCAAATAAGTTCCTCTTGTCGTAAAAAAAAATCGACAAGATTGACAACTACTCAGCCATTAAACTGTGACTGTCAACAAATCAAACAATTCCGTCGAAATTCAAAACATACTACATCTCATGATGTTTCGCAATATTAAGAAAAATATTTGAAAGAACAATGTTTCAAGTAAAAATTAGAAAATTTTTTTATTAAGAATTAAATTCTATATCCAATGATATAATGATAAACCGTTCATAGAACATGCTAACTTTTGAAAAACACAACTCTCGAAAGTTTATTCAAAACCGAATATCACCAGGTGCTAGCTCCAAGCCTTCTGCATCTGAACGACATGATTAGTAACCTTGAGAAGATCTTAGGAACATAAAATATTAAAATCTCTATATAATAATACTAAATACTTTACATTTTGGGATCGAACGTGATGAGCACATAACCTTTCATAAATCGTTATATGCACGCACAAGATCGCAGTTGGGCAGTAAAGCAGTTGCCAATTTTTCAGCGATAAGAATAAATTATTTAAAAATCCAAGTTCCAATTTTTGTAGAATATAAAATTCTCTATCGAATGATCTTAGAATGTTGCCTTTGAATCATGTCTTCGCTATTCAGAAACGAAAAGTCAAACCATTTCATTATTTATAGGTCACTTATTATTACCAATTGAAATATAAACAAGTTTCTCAAATTTTATTCAAATATAATTTGAACTTTGTTTTTGTTTAGAATTTTCATAGATATAGGAACTAAAGAAAAACAGCAAGCATTTTTCTAATATACGATTGATTAGCATTTTAACGAAGACTTTTCGAATCATTTTTTCTGAATCTTACATATCGAATTATTATTCGACTTTCTATCACGCAAGGATAAAAAAGAAACCTGAAATAAAACAATCAGTGTACAGTTAAATAAAAGTTTATGAATAGAGAGAGAACCTTGTTTGTTTAAGAAAAAAGAAAAAATTTCATCATCAGTATATACAATAAAATACATGATTTATTGTATGTATTTGAGATTTATCGAACTCTGAGTCTTGATTGTATATCATAACATGAAAACAAAGTTCATTCAATCTAGAATTTCAAGTATTTTTGATGAATTTTGCAAAACTCTCATTTTGAACGACTCTCATACATCTAGCTCATGCTAATAGTAGTATTTCAAAACATTTATTCGTTCTTGTCTCTAAATAGTAAAATAATGTGTTATAATTCATTTACTGACATATGAAATTCGAAACTATTCTTATTTATTAAAAGATAGTCATCGTTATGTAACTATAATTTATTCATCTCATACGTTTTGACAATGTACATGAATCCATATACTATTAAGTTATGTAACATGTATTACATCGATTATTCATACGTTTCTATTTTTATTTATTGATGATAAGATAATAAATAATCTTGATAATGAATCATGTCTCATATATTTTCAGACTAGATTATTCATAGTCTATACATTCATTATTCATTTATTGGAATCCGATAATAGAGAGTACTGTAATCCGCAGTTTCATAATTCACACTTGTATTTTGATATAGTTATGAACATGCGAGATACTCACAATGAATATAACACATATACGAAAACTAATATCTAAGTAATGTTTTCGAAATTTCATAGAAAAAACTCGAAGATAATTGTTGATATGTAATTCATCGGGTGTGGGTGTGGCTTTATTCTTACAATCTATGAACTAGGTGGTATAATGATGATGATCTGTTTTTGCATAAAACATGTGTACAATTTTAAAACAGATAATCTCTATAGAAGTTGTACACATTCGTTATCGATATGTCTATTGTTCTAAATACTCATTAAAAAAGATTTGCTTGAGTGCATATACCAGGTTATTCATCATAATTTAATGGTTCATTAACTCTTTTTCAATCCGTTTTATTTATTATGTGTGATGGACGAAAAAATCTTTTGTTTGATGAAATATGAAAAAAAAAAAGAAAATGTCGGAAGTGAATAGATTTTTTTTGATCTATATGGCGCTCATTTTTTCTCAGTGGCAACCGACAAAATTTATAAAAACATTACCAGAAATATATAATGGTAAATTAGCTTCCAGATATACTAAATAGTACAATATCTTGATCAACGTTACAATTACGTTTTTTTTTTTATAAATAGACTACGACAAGTATCTTTCGTTCATTTTTAATTATTCAATCTAAATTTTTTCATAACTCACATGAAAAATGTGCAAAACTCATTTTTATGTCATAAATATTCTTCAACAATGTTTTAGTATCCTAGAGAAAATATAATACACAAAGATAACATTAATCAATCTTGATACAAGTAAACGATAATAAAATTTTTTAATATCTACATTATATTTATAGATAACATAACTTAACTAGAAGACATAATGTTTGTAGCACTAGTTAATGAAAATCTTTGTTTTTTTTTTCTTCTTGTATTTGTTTATTTTAATGGTAAAATTAATAATTATAAGAAAATAATTCCAATTGAAAAGTATGGTACTAGCATTTTATCGCAAAGAATTGTAAACACAATTACTCAATTTCACTTATTCATGTTTTTTTTTCTCGAAAACTACAATCGAATAGAAAGAAAAATTTTGATAAATTAATAAATAATTATTTTAAAACAAATTTGTAATATAAACCTTCGCTATTATGATAATTTTTTTTAATATTAATTTGATTATTCATTACTTAACAAATATATAACAATTTCATATACATATAGTTTGATGATTCTATTAGAAATTTTCAAGTAAAATTATATTATGTATGATGAAAATAATTTTTATTTAGTTACAAATTTTCTATTCCATAAAGTTTTTAAATTATAAAAGCGTAATGACATAACTATAATTTATAATATGTTTCAACTTTCTTATTTTCTTTTTTTATTTGTGATTATTTGAAAATTAATTATTCAATAAATATTTAATCAATCGAAATTGATTCAACTTCACGTAGATTATTTTTTTTTCCATAGAATCATATTATTACACAAGTATTGTTTTATAAAAACAGAAAAAAAGAAGTCAATAATATACTTTTATAATTTGACGTCTTGCTACCAGAGATGGACAAAATCGCACCGCGCCTCCCCGCGCCAAGGCGCTACGCACATCTCTCTTTCTCTTTGCTCTACCAATCAGTTTCTCAAACTCCACCGAATACCGGGATGCTCTAAGCATGCGCTCATCGAAGCTCAGACTAGTGTGGCGTAGGCGTGAGCAACGGCGCGGGGAGGCACGGTGCGACTTTGTCCATCTCTGCTTGCTACTATTTACATACGGAAAAGATCACAAGATACATTGTTTAGTAAATCGTAGACGGTAAATATAGATCAAAGCATTACGAAAGAAGAAGTACGACTAATGCTCTTGCTGTCTGTACAAAGACGATAATATTCAGTAATAACTAAGGAATGCCAATTACTGATAATCTTGATTTCTTTCTCTCTCTCTTACCGAAATCTGATCCATTCAAAATAGCGTTGATATCAACGGAAATTCTTATGTTTGTTTCTGTTGCAAATGTATCATCTTGATTGTATGAATTCAAATGACAAACAACAATCAATATATTTTTCTTAGAACTTCTTCAAATTGAAGTTATTTTTCATAATTAATTTTAATATATACATATAAAAAAAATTTGTGAAATAATCAATCTAATTGTTCAATGTAACATCAAGTTGAATGATTCAAATAGAAACTATTCGTTTTCTTTATCTTATCATACTATTCTAAAAGTATGATTCATCATTCTTTTCATATAAGTATCATTTATCAAAGGTGATAGATTAAACATTACTTTTCTTTGACTTCTTCAATTATAATTATTATTTTCTTTGTAATTATTAATTTCGAAAGAATTATTATTACTCTTCAATGTTTTCGTTTTTTTTTTTCATCGAGATTGTTGATGTGTTTGTACGTTTTATTCTCTTTTCAATAGTTCAATTAGTAAAGAACCTAATATTGTTAGCTTAACGTTAATAAATTTTGATCTATCAATAACTATTTATTTTACTAAAATATGTCTTCAATGATTAGTTTATTTTTAATTTTAAATAGAAATTTCGAAAACATTACATGGCATGAAAAATCGTTCGTTTAGCATATTAGAATACTGTCATTTTGCAAATAATTCAAGTCTTAGCATCTATCTAGACAATTGATACATCATTCATCATCAAAATCCTAATAAATTGAATTTTTTTTTTCAGAATGTTGTCAATAGCCAAGTTAACTTCAAAAATTTTTCGATAAATTCATAAAATATTCTTATTACGAGTTTCAATGCATGAAATCTTCTTCCGTTTTTTCAAACATTCTTTAATGTATGAGCGTTTAATAATAAAAATTCATTGAATAGAATAAGTTCTATGTTAAACATACAATTATTAAACGTGTTAACACAAATATATCAATAATAAATATAAACAATTTTATATTTGCATAGAAATCAATTATGATATAAACTTATTCATTATTGTCATATGACAAAAAAAAATGCCTCATCATCAATAAAATGACTAATCCTATATAAAAACAATAAATTATATTTTATTAACTTTCATTTTAATAAAACTAAAAGAAAACAAAAAAAACATGTTCGATGAAAATCAAAAAATTTAGAAAACATAATCATTTAAAATTTTATCAGAAAATAAAAAAAAAAAAAAAAACGAGAATTTCTTTTTCTATTTAACGAAAAATCATATTATCATTGCAAAATCAAATAGTTCAATTGTCTGAAATCTTTCACATGAAAAACTCTTTTTATTACAAATCAAAGGTTCAATAGTTTTGTTTTATCATGTTTTACATTTTCAAATATTCGAATCTATATTACACGAGGACAGAGATAAGAAGTTCTTGACAATTTGTTTAACAATAAAACGAAAATTCGTGGGTACATTTTTCAAACATAAAAACTTTTGTGATCTTAAAAATATTTTTCATAAAATATGATTTTATTAATTGAACTTTAAGTATAATTTCTATGTTTCCGATTATTTGATCATATAATTCGAAGAACATATCAATGCATAAAAATAGAAAACCTTTTTTGTTTTTTTTTTTTTTTAGAAATTTTTTAATGAAATAAATTTTTGTTTTTTTTCATTATGAAATATTGACAGATAATATAAATATTCAAAAATAAAAATCTTGAAAAAATTTTGTTGAAAAAAAAATTTTCTTTAAAATCTATGTTGTTCGTTCTCATTGATAGTATTTCAATAAAAATGTTTTATTTTATATTTTATATTCATGTAAATTTTATATTAAATGAAAGAGGAAATTTTTCTCTATTAAGTAATATTAAATTTATTAGATTTAAATAAAAATTTCTATCAAAATTTTTCAAATTATTCTCAAAATCTCCTTAATTCAATGATGTTTTTTCTACTTTTACCAATAAAAACATATCTAAAACAATCAAAATTTTCAAATTTTTTTATATAATCTTATAGAAAAAATAGTTTTCTATCGAATGATATCATAAACATAAAAAAATTCTAAAAAAAACTTCAAAAAAAACTTCAATTATTCATATGGATTCGAATATATTTGATTAGAAAAAAAATGTTTTAAACATCGTCGAAGAACATAACACATAAACGAACGCAAAGGAAGAGAAAAAGAATAAAAACAAAGCACGACCCAAGTGAGAGTCGATACCATCGATATATAAATAATCGTGCACAACCACTATTAACTTCATATAACAACAAGCGCAAATAACAGCGTTCAGGTATGTCTCAATTTAATTTTCTTCTTCTATTAACTAAAATTCTTCTTATTTATTAATATATAGAGTTCATCTCTTTCTCACTCTTCATTTTAAACAAAACACTTTATCTTATTTAACCCAACAGTTCTCTTCAGGTATACTAATAATTTAAACATAAAATAAAATTAATTTGAAAAAAAATTTAGAACTTATCATCAAAAAATGACCGAAGGTACAATTGCACAAGTTTCATCAGTTCAAACTGCTAATAATACAAATGTTTCACCAAAGAAACAACAAAAAAAAACAACAAAAGGCAAATCAACACACGTTGTAACACATCCAAAATATTCTGAAATGATTAAAGCAGCATTAAAATCATTAAATGATCGTGGTGGAAGTTCACGTGCTGCTATACTTAAATTTGTTTTAGCTAATTATTCACTTGATCCAACACAAGCTAATCAACATCTTAAATTAGCACTTAAAAATGGTGTTAAAGCTAAATATTTTAAACAAACAAAAGGTAATGGTGCAAGTGGTTCATTTAAATTAGCATCAACAGGTGAAAATAAACCAACAAAAAAAAAATCAATTAAACCAAAAAAAACAACATCATCATCAACATCATCAACAGCAACAAAAAAACGTGCTCGTTCAAAATCTGCTGGAACAAAATCAGCTAAAAAGGTCGCTACTATTGCTGATACAAATAATTCAGCTACAACAACAACAACATCAACTGCTGCTGCTGTTAAACCAAAACAAACTAAAGTTGTTAAACCAAAAACAAGTGCAACACCAAAATCAACTAATGCTGCTAAAACAAAAAGAACAACACAAAGTAAGATTTTGAAATTTTTTGTTTATTATTATTTTTTTTGTTTTTGTAGCAAAATCCAAACGAACAACAGGAACTAAAACAGCTGGTGTTAAAAAGGCAACAACAACAACAACAGCAACAAAAAAAGTTGCTCAACCAAAAGTTAAAAAGGCAACTACACCAAAAAAACCAAAATCAACAGCAACAAAAAAAGCAACAACTGGTAAAAAGGTATCAAAACCAAAATCAACCAAAAAAGTTTCATCACCAAAGAAAACAACCAAATAAATCAATTAATTAAACTAAAAAAAAAAACATTTATTTCATGTAGTTCGTAGTTGTTGTCTGATATTTTCTATATATATATATATATTTGTTATTATCAATGATATTCATTGATATCAAAAAAAATTATTTTGCGACCATAGATTTGTGTGAGTGTGTGTGTGTGTCTATTGTTATACACTTGTATTAAAAAAAACAAAAAAAAAACATTTGTGTGTTGAGTGAGATACAAAAAAAGATGAGTAGTTTAGAGGATTCGTTTTTTTTTCGAAATAAATAAACATTTAAACTTTAAAGATAATTTTATGTCTTTTATTTTTTTAATCAAATTGAGAAGAAGAGTGAAATGAAATTCGAATTTCGTTGAATAGAAAAGAAAAAAATATATTTTGACTTCGATTCTAAGGACATTTGTTATTTTCATGATATGACGACAATCAAGAATTTTTTGTGATTTGTAAATGACATGACCGACTGATATTATTCGCGAAAAATATTGTTTCTTTCAATAATTTTGTGTTATGAATGTTTGCAATATGAAATAGACTTTAACGATCAATTCTTCGATAGAGCTGGACATTTGTTGGCTATGATTTAATTTTTTTAAAAATTTCGATGAATTTTACATCACTTAGGGCTATAAGAGGGAAATTCAAGTGTAGAAATAAGATCTAGACCAGAGATGGACAAAATCGCACCGCGCCTAGGCGCTACGCACATCTCTCTTTCTTTTTTATCAGTTTCTCAAACTCCACCGCCGAATATCGGGTTGCTCTAAGCATGCGCTCATCGAAGCTCAGACTCGTGTAGCGTAGGCGTGAGCAACGGCGCGGTGCGATTTTGTCCATCTCTGATTATTTTATTGTAAACATCGATAAGAAAAATTACTTGTGAGAATAAAAACTTATTAGAAACTATTTAAAGAAGAGAATTATATCGTAAAATCAACTTTGATAAGTTTTTAAAAAAAAACCGACTTTTTATTTTTCATACAGATTGATCGTTTTTTTTTTCTATGTAAATGATTAAGAAAAGAATGAAGAAATATAATTTAACTTCTTTCAGAAAAACAAAAGTCAATGAAAAGTTGTATCTTTGTTGCTCTTTCTTTTGTTCTCAATCGAATAAAGTTTTCATATAGTTGAAAAGAGCATGATGTTATTAAAAAAAAGAAACTCTAGTACGTTGATTTAATCTGCTTCGTTTTTTTTCTTTTACAATGTCATATTGGATTCGAAATGATTTGTAACAAATAAAGATAGTATTATAAATTGACATTGTATATTTTTCTACTACTTTCGATTTCAATGAAGTCTTTTTTGTTGTTGTTTTTAGATACTATATAATAAAAACTTTAAATAATATTGAGATTTAACGAATTTTCATCTGAAATTTTGCGCATAGACTACCCAGGTCAAATGACCTCAGTCGGATCTCGCCAGTTCGGAATAATTTCGGTCGGATCCGGTCCTATATTTGTCGGATTCCGATCCGGATTTCATCGGAATTCGACGGAACGTGATAAAATCCGACCTGATTCGACCCGGATTTCATCGTGTTCCGTCGAATTCCGATGAAATCCGGCTGATGGGAATCTGACAAAAACCTTGTCGGATCCGATCTGTTTTTTATGAAAGATGTCGGATTCCGATGAAATCCGAGGCGGATCCGATCGTTTATCGATCGAATCTACAGGTCGGATTGAATCTCCTGGGTAATTTTCATAAAATATCTTTTTATACAAGTTAATCTAGCTGAATTCTTTATATGAATAAAATTCGATTGTTCAATTAAATATTGTGAAAATCCTTTTAAGATTTTAGATCAGAAGACTATTTAAACATTACTTAGTATTAGTATTTCATAGTTTTTAGACCTATTTCTTGCTCTAAAACGAATGCATTTGAATAAATAATTTTATAAAAATATCGTTGAGAAATTGTCGATCAAATTTGAATAATGAAAATGAAATAGAAAATTGTTTTTTTTTCCGAATAAACTATGTATTGAAACGAATAGTAAATTGAACAAAAATTTTCAATGAAAATATAAGACATTAGTTTAAACAGTCAATAGTTGAATCAAAATAATTTGACTTAATCTCTTGAGTATTTGTTTATGTAGAAAAATTCGAAGCATTGAATGATATTTGTATATTTCAAATATAGTTTGATCATTTTTCTTGATTATTCATTGTCAAGAATAAATCTTGTTTGTCGTTTCTTTTTGAATCGTTTCTTCGATGAATTTATATCATTGGAAATAGTTTGAAGATGTAAAGATGATGAAACTTGAACATTGAATAAAGTTTGACAAAGATCTGATTTCTATTTAAGAATATTTCTTGTATAGAAAATACATGGAAATAAATAAAAATTTACTCGTTTTCGATGAATTCCATCAAAATATTTTTCAATCTAATTAACAAAACAAAAAAAAAAAGATAAATTAAAGATTAAAATATTATCATGATAATAGTTTTTTTTGTTTGTTACTCGTGAATAATCAATAGTTTGTAAATAAAATTTTAATGGTGAATTTGTTTTTAAATCTTCAATTGAAACAAGAGACATAATTGAATCAATATCTAATTATATTGAATCAAAGCATTAAAAAAAACAGAATATATTTTCTTTACCATTAATATTTCGTGCAGTTACTCGACTATTTGGTTCACCAAATGGTCGTGTTGAAATTATTCGACAATCACTTTGTAAATCATAAAAACGTAATTTTAAATTTTGATTTTTATCATTTGAAAATGATTTATTATTAACAAAAATTAGACTAAAAAAAAAAAACAAAAAAATTCATTTAAATATGTATCTATCAAAAATAAAATGCTTTCGAATTAGAATTGTTTAGGACGGGATTATTTATTTGAAAATAAAATAAATCTTTTGAAATAATTGATTACTAGTCTCTAATCAAGTTTCTTGACCTTTCGAGACCGACAACTGCAGTCCATCTCAAAATTCCACAACAATATTAGATAAAACAATGGATAGGTAATTGACATTCAAAGATCGTATTGAATCTAAGATGAATGACTTATATATGTGTTACCCATCCCGAAAAGGTTACATATTCAATTTATAATCAAAACAAGTTTATGTTTAATAATACAAATCAAAATTTCATACAAAGATATAAAATCTTAATAGATTTTTTTAATAATATTTCTTAATTGGTCAGTCAATGGTTGAGAGTTCGTATTCTTTATTGAATTATGGCAATGTTCAGGTTATTTTCTTTATTGTACAGCTACTAAATTAGTATAGATTTTATTTAAGATAAAATTTGAAAATAGCATTCAAAAGTCTTAACATGAGCTTAAAAAAATACGATTGATAAAGCATCGTGCATGACATTCTATTCCTTTCTGCCTTTAGTGTTTAGTTAAGTCTCTGCCGAATTAACCATGTTCTGTTGATTGTGAATTGCTTCTACCAGCTCTATTTACTGTGTTCTTTGGTAAGCGTAGCTTGTTTTTGCTCAATATAGTTTTTCCAAATGAAAGTTGTCTCTCAATAAATTTTGCTATTTTCATTCTTGTTGTTGTTTTCTCGTTGAATAACAGTGACAAAAATAAGTATAAAGTGAATTACAGATGCAGAAAAAACAAGCCCTTTGGAAAAACTCTAAAGCAAAATATTATGCTAAATTTTTGTAGACAAAACTTTTAATGTTATGTTTTTCGGAACAAATTTTTTTTTTATGTTATTCTTAGACATTTTAGATTTCTCAAAGCTCACTGTTTAGTTTCAATAACAAAACTCAGATGATGTGTTAACACATTATATCCTCATAATAAATTTTATAAACGTATATTGTTGTATTATTCATATAAAGGGTGTTTTATAAGTTTTGACTTGATTTTCTTTTCTGTCTTTGCTATTTTTAATGGGAGAAAAGTATTTAATAGATTAAATCATAAGATTAACATGTATTCTATTAATAAAAAAAAATTGTATTGAATTTCCGTCAACTTTAACAGAGAATCACATTAATAAAAATTTTGGCAAAATCATGTTCGCCTCTTCATAGGAACTTTCTCTCTCTTCTGAATAGCTTTTAATAAGAACTGGATATAAGTCGAGCCAATCGATGTTGATCCCGAACTCAACAAAAGCCGAACTATCTTGTCCATATCTATTTAGAACACATAAGTCATGGCAATATAACACTAGATGCAAGTTTTATACGACTATGAAAAATATAACAACTAATAGAAAAGTATTGATCTTGGTACTAGCTCTGGTAGGTTGAAAATCAGCACCATGTTACTCATATCTTTAAAAAAAAAGAACAATAGTAGTGACTCGTAGTGAGTGAATGAATGTTTCTTTCTCAGTGTAGATACAAAATCAATTGAACTGTTTTTGATAGATTGAAATTTATGAAGAAGGGTTTAGATTCTATGTGCGGTCTTTTTTTTTGTTTTATCTAATATCCTATTGACAAATATTTTATCGTTGTTAGTATTGTTAAAAATAATTACTTTCCAGATTTAAGTATCGATCGAAAATTTTCATGAAAAAAATCTCCTTGAATTATCTGAAATAAATTAAACAAATTTTTTAATCTATCATATAGTAAAATGATAATTTAACTTGAAAATCACTATAAGTTTTTCCAAACCATTTCATCCAAAAAGAAAATTCTTTTTCGAATAACTAAAAAAAAAATATATATTTTGAAATTCTAAATAATAATCCATATATATATATATATACTTTAGCTGAATGATATAAATCTGAATTATTTTCAATTCCAATTGATTTTTTACATGATAACATAGCTGCTATTTGTAATGGTACATGACCATAAGCACAACCAAGATGAATAAATATATCATCTGATCGTAAAGAAAATTTTCTAAATAATTCATCAATTAATTCAAATGAATATTCATTTTGTATCTATGTTACAAAAAAAAAAAAAGAAAATTTTTATTCGTTTTTATTTTTGTTTATTAATACTAGATTATCTTTTTGAGAAGATAATTTTAAAATAAAATGAAGAAATTCACGAGTTATATGTGAACAAATTTTTTGACGTTTAGAATGATTTCGTATTTGTAAATTATTTTTATTACGTAATAAAATATTATTTACAATTTTATTATAAGCTTCTGCATAAGCTTTTATCATTGTTAAACTAAAGACAATAGAACACATAAAAAAGAAGCAAATATCTCATTTTAAATAAATAGAAATTTTATTTTACTCTTTAAGATCAATCATTGTACGAAATAAAGTTTGTTCTGATATTTTTCGTAATTCAGGTGATAATTCACAAGCAAATCTTTATTTTTTATTCAAAACTAAAAAATTATTTATATATAATAGAAAACATACTTAATTGTTTGAATAACATTATTTGTTGAATTTGTATCATCCTAGATGATCATTAGATTGTCTTTTGATCTGATAATAAAATAATTTTTAAACAAAGTGCAAACATTTAACATAAAATACAAAAAAGAAAATTTTACCCATTGAATATTTATATATGCATCAGAATTGTCAATTGGACTAATAAGTCGAATGGCATATGGCACTTGAAAATAAAATAAAGTATCATGTCAATGAAAGTATCAAAAAATGATTAAATATATACTTCTAGTAACAATGAATTAGTGTGATATAAAAATGAATATTTTTATACTTTTTAGTTGTCAAGGAAACACATTAATGAAAATTCATTTTTCAACATGATGAAAAACTTATACCTAAATAGAAGAGAGTTTTTCAAGAATTATCCTATGAAATAAATTAAATTGGAAAAAATAAAAGGATAATGATCGATGATCATCACAATCATATGATTTTTCTGCAAGTCTGAGGCTTATAAAAAAAAAACTCTTTTTGCTGCAAATTTATTTCGCGTCTAATTTTACCGATAGACTACTAACGAAGGAACATATTTAGGTGTTCAAGCATTTTAGAGCCCATCTTTTGGCCACAAGTAGACCTCAATGAGGCATGAAAAACCTGAAAAGGATTCATTCCCTCGTGCCT